AACGTCCAAAACACAGACAGGAAATTTTCAAAATTCAACACTCAATATCAAACTATAAATAATTTAGTATCAAAATTGTCCACAACACTTAAAAATTCTTTAGTTTTACAAGTCAACACTATAATTCACTTTTTAAAAATCTGCATCACAAATAATCTATACACATAAGAAAAAATTCCCATCTTGATAAACAATAAAGAATCCAAAAAAATAAACAAATTTAACACGAAATGCAATTTCCGAACGCAACCTATTACACAAGTGAATTAAAAAACGAAATTAAAAAACAAAAACGTGACAACTGACGGCGCGCGTAATCAAATATGGCGGAATGCAATTCACGCGGGCAATTAAATATCTTGTAATGCAAATAAACTCTTATCTACAGTAAACTAAATATAATATTAAATATTAACTAGATTTATTCTCACAGCTCCGTCCATTTTGGCGGGCGTTTCATACGTTAGCGGTAAATGACTAAACATTTTGTCGAATGACGAATGCTGGGTCAAAGAGATAAGATAATATTTTACTAACTCATATTAATGTTTTTTTATTTCAATACACCATGAACAGCATTATATTGCACAATATATTTTATCTATATAGATAAAAGTGTAACATGATTATTAAAAATTCAGATTACGATTTGAAACTCCGAGAATTAATGACTTACAAATATGACAGAATTATGAAACTTATCTACGAGTATATCCATACTAATATAATAAAGCGTAAACACACACTTTGTGGCCTAGGATGTTAATTACAGCATATTTTTGAATAATTATTTCTTTAATAAAAAGCCCTACACTTACGTCATGCTTGAGGCTATATATTTTAACGCCATTAAACTTTGGGGGTATATATTTTGGATAAAAACCCTAACGTGGGAAAGAGACCATAAGTTGCCAACATCAAGGAAGCTAGGTTGCCATGGTTTGATGTCATTTAGACTTTTGCAATTGATAATTTGACACATATAAGTAATAAAATAAAAATTTTCATAATTTCATACTAATGAAGTCGCCCGGGAACAGCTAGTTTTACAATAAAATAGGGACACCAAAGTACAATCACGGAAATACGCAGTGTTCTACAAACGACGGGAAAAAAACTGATTAGGACCAAACTTTCAACACATTCAAAAACTGTTTCCTATTGGATATAGTCCAATATTTTAAAAAATAAAAAATAGTCAAACGATTGCATCTTTTAGGATGAAAAACAGACATATTCCGATAGCACAAAAACATCCCGCGACAAAAAAGTCTCGGAAAGATCCTTGTACGGTAGAACTTGTATCAAAAAAATTTAGCCTGACTAACTAGATTTTCTAGAACGAAACCACGATATTATAACCTCTCATCTTGTCCAAGTTTGTACAACCTACTCATGGGAAGAATCAAATGTCACTTAAAATTGATTTATGGCCGGTTTCCCAGTTACATTTAACCATTCGTTATTATTATTGGTTCGATTAGTTCATTGTCAATGACACAACTTGGCAATCTTGCTTCCTTGATGTTGGTAGCAACTTATGGTCTCTTTCCCACATTAAGGTTTTTATCCAAAACATTTACCCCCTAAGCTTAATAGCGTGAAAATATATAGCCTAAAGCGTGACGTAAGTGTAGAGCTTTTTATTAAAAAAAATATTATTTAAAAATATGCTGTAATTGCTGACATCTTAGGCAACAAAGAAGTGTGTGTTTACACTTTATTATAATAGAGACTTTTACCAGTAGAGTATTTTAACAGATTCTTATAAGAAAATATCATAAAATAACATCCGAAACACACAATTAGCACAAATACACGCGTACCTTACTCTATGACGTAGTGTTTGCACATGATTTAGGTGTGGCAAACATTTGAACAAACATTGGAGATTACATCACGTGTTATAAAACACGCTACTTGTGCTGCATCTCTTTCATTCTCCTTGTAAAAGCAGAGACAGGAATACATTGTGTATTGATTGGGGGAAATCCGCGGCTTAGTGATCAAAATTTGAATTTAGAATTGGAACGATTTCGAATTCGATTTTTAATTTTTATACATCATTCCTATTTTTAAATTAAAAGTAAAATGTTCTAAATTCGAATTTGACATTTAAAAAAACAATTCTACAAATTTAGTCAAATGCATTCTTTCTTACAGTTTTGAACTTTGATCTTTTTGTAATATACATTAGTAGTTATTTCAATGTTGAAATAATAAGATAAGCAAAGATAAGAAGCCCTTGGGAATATCATATTTAAATTTAGTTCAGTAAATACTAGTTTTTGCTCGCAATTTCGCGTAAAAATTAAAAAAAAATAGCCTATATTACTCACAGATAAATTAACTTCTAATGGAGAAAGAATTATTTAAATCGCTTCAGTAGTTTTTAAGATTATTTATTACAAACAAAAATATAGTGATAGCGTCCGTTTTAACATCTTCACACTGTAGGGCGTACGTACTCTACGTAATACCACGACCACACACGACAGGCGTGAAGTGTGAGCAATTCCGCGTACACTCTGATGAGTGTGGTGGCCTAACTTTAGTCCCTTTTCTTTCTCACTCTTCTTAAAAGAAACAGATGGGAAGGAAAGTGGACTTGACGGCGGACACATATAGTAAGGGGAAATATCCTCTTATATGGGTCTTCTCCGTCACTTAAGGGTAGGCAACGCATCCACTATTGTGAATGTCTATGGGCAGTCGCTTCGCCTTCGCTTCGCGCCAATTGGCCTGCTTGTTTGCCACCTTATTATATAAAAAAATATACAAATCATTCTTAATATTGGTTTGAAAAAGTCCCTAGAGTTTTATCAATGAAAATGCATAGATAGAAATACGATAAATTATTTTTTTACGATTTAAATTATTGTAATTTATTATTTTGATTGCGTGACCGACAAAAATTATCTCCTTAAATACATTAAGTGATAAAATTTATTAATAATGATAAATATTACATTATATTAAGAACTAAAAAAATACTTACACCTAGCCTTAATAACACGATTGGGTAAGATACGAAATGAGTATATTAGAGGAAGTTTGAGTAGCCCCAGTGGTAGAGAAGGTAAGGAGTAAAAGGTTAGAGTGGTATGGACTTGTTATGAGAAGGGATGAATCGCATGTAACAAGAAAGATGTTAGTTATGAATGTGGAGGTACATCGGTAGAGGTAGACCCAGAAAGAGATGGATGGATTGCGTGAAAGGTGACATGATCGAGAAGGGAGCGATGACTGAGATGACAGATAGAGTGCTTTGGAGGACGAAAACCCGGTGCGACCTACGGGAGTAGGATAAGGCAGGGGAGATGATGACCTAGCCTTAATAAAATATCGATTAATGGTCGGTTTCCAGCTGAAAATCAGCGCAGTAACGGCCTGCGCCGTCATTGCATTAGTTGAGCTTGCCACCTTTTGCCACATTTCTTTTATTAGCTCTAAAGTTTTGTGTACGTCTTATTTTTTTTTGTCGCAATAAAAATCCTATTTGTTAGTTAAAAGTCCTAACTAAAAATAACCGTTCGTTAGTGTTTTTGGTACAACTTCATGATATGCGTTTCCGAAATAACTTGAGTTTTATTCCGTTGGAACTTGAACCTATCACTAATGAAGCACTAGGTAATGATTAAACAAATGAAAATTTAGCAACAAAAAAGTATATTATTAAGTTTCGTCCGCGACTCCGTCCGCGTGGAATTAAAAAAATTTATGTGCTCTATCCGACTATCCTCTATATCTATACCAAATTTCATTAAAATCAGTTCAGTCATTTAGGTGACAAGCTCTAACAAACATCCATCCATCTTAACTTTCGCATTTATAATATTAGTATGAAGTAATATAATCTTAACTAAAAAGACAATCTAACTAATATCATAAATGTAATAGTTTGTTTGTTAGAGTTTGTAGCCTAAACTACTCAAACGGATCTCGATGATTGTCAAAGATGTAGGTAGTCTGGAAGAACACATAAAAAATCAATTTTCCTTGTGAGCGCTGTAAGCCTGTCATTTGTATGTTTTATTTTTATATCTACAGTACATTTAATTTGCTTGTGTACTTGAACATGCTATTCCAAAAACGTACACATATACTTTTGATACGTAACTATTTCCAAGTTACGGTTCCCGTGAGTTATATTGAGTTATTTCATATTAACTCGTAAACTGCAATAGTTCCACATATCTTATTGAAAGTCAGATATAAAAGAAACTATGTAACACATGGGATATGATTCAATCTCAAAATGTCAGGTTCCCGAAGAATAAATAGTTTTTTAATAAATTCGCGCGGACGATTGCGCGTGTGTCTATACTAGTATAAAGAGGAAAGATTTGTATTTTTGTATGTATTGAAATAACTTAAAAAATACTTGACCATTTTCAATTTCACCATTAAAAAAGCTTTATTATCATTAACATAAGCTATATATTTACTTTATTTTTTTTAATTTCCCGCAGGTTATATCGAAAATAGCTAGTAATCCATACTAATATAAAGAGGAAAGATTTGTATTTTAGTGACCGATCTCAAAAAATCTTTCACCGTAAAAACCTACGTTATAATTAACATAGATATATATTTACTTTTTTTAATTTCACGCGGAATAAGCTATAAATCTATACTACTATGATAAAGCGTAAACACACACTTCTTTGTTGCCTAAGATGTCAGCAATTACAGCATAGTTTTGAATAATTATTTTTTTTAATAAAAAGCCCTACACTTACGTCACGCTATAGGTTATATATTTTCACGCTATTAAACTTAGGGGTAAATATTTTGGATAAAAACCTTAGTGTGGGAAAGAGACCACAAGTTGCTGTTAACATAATGGAAGCAAGATTGCCATGGTATGACATCATGTCATTTTGACATTTGCTATTGATAATTTGACAAATTTGAACAATAAAATGAATTTTCTATAATTTCATGCGGATATAGTCGCACGGGAACAGCTAGTATCTTAATAACAAGTTAAAACTTACCTTCATTCATCGCCATATCCATTAATTGTAGATCTTCGTCATTAAGTATGGCTTGTAGGAAGCCATCTTGGTTCGGTGGCGCCATCTCTGCCCCAGTGTTCTAAAACAAACGGTAATAATTAATTAAGAAAAAGAATAAAATATACACAACCTTACAAATAAACGCGATAAAATAATATATAATATTAAATCAGCACAAAAACTTTGCAACATAATAAATACAAAATAAAAACGAGAAAAAAAAACTATTTATAATCAAAACTAATAATTGATGACAAAAACAAATTGCCGAGAGAAAAAAAAACAAACATTAAACATTTTTTTTTTATAACATAAGGTGGCAAACGAGCAAGCGGCCACCTGAAACCGCCAAAATGGCGAAGCGACTGCCCATAGACATCCGCAATTGCAGCGTTGCCTACCCTTATACGACAGAGGAGACGCACAGAAAGAGGATATTTCCCCTTCCTATGCATCTCCTCCACCGATAACATATAAGACATTCTACCCATGTGTTGCAATGCAGAACTGATAGGCTCTCTGCTCAGCTATATGTTAGTCCCGGGGGGTAAAAACGCTGATATTCTACAAAAGCCTTTGCGTCTTCCGTACGTCAGTATAAAGTCAAACTTAGAATAAATGAGTAAACAGTATTAATATTTGCTTATACTCAGTTTAAAGTTTTTTATAATAAAAGGCGGCAAACGAGCAAGCGGCCTGAATCCACCGAAATGGAAAGCGACCGCTGCACAAACATCCGCAATTGCAGCGCTGCCTACCCTTCAACGGAGACGCACATAAAGAGGACATTTCCCCTTCCTATGCGTCTCCACCGTCAAATACACTTTTCCTTCTCATCCTTTCCTCTTAAGAAAAGGGTGGAAAGGGAAAAGGACTAAAATGAGGCCTCCGGCACCACACTCATCAGTAAGCAGAATTGCTGCCACTTCACGCCTGTCTGTGGTCGTGGTATTGCGTAGAACCCTACACTACGAAGATGTTAAAGCGGGCTCTACCAATATAATAGAGTGAAGATATTCCAAAAGCGTGTTAATGTATTGGTATTGTAAAACAACTAGCTGTTCCCTTGCGACTTCATCCGCATAAAATTATTAAAAAAAATATTACATGTGTTAAATTATCAAATGCAAATGTCAAAATGACATGACAATGTCAACCTTGCTTCCTTGATGTTGGTAGCAACTTATGGTCTCTTTCCCACATTAGGGTTTATAGCCAAAATATTTACCCCCCTAAATTTAATGACGTGAAAGTATATAGCCTAAAGCATTACGTAAGTGTAGGGTTTTTTTATAAAAAAAGGAATTATTCAAAAATATGGTGTAATTGCTGACATCTTAGGTAACAAAGAAGTGTGTGTTTACGCTTTATTATAATAGTATACATATATAAGCAAGATTTCTAAAACATTTCTCAAAACAACACTATTAGATATCGCGACGTGACTGTTCGCCGAGCACTAGAGCGTACATATTTGAATAGATGTATACTTTACCTGATAGTACAATGCATCGTGTTGTTGCGGATGGTGGGTAGATTCGACTTTGTAAGCGCCATCTAGCGGAGCTGCTCCACCTGAGAACAAGAAAAAAAATTACAATCGAGACTATCCTCTACATATATGACAATCTAGATCCGTTCAGTCTAGGATACATAAGTTTCTCGCGACTTTGCCCGCGTAATAATAATAAAACATAGCCTATGTTACTCAGTGATAACGTAGCTTTTTAATGGTGAAAGTATATTTAAAATCGGCCCCGTAGTTTTTGAGTTATTTCAATACATACAAAAATACAAATCTATCCTCTTTATAATATTAAGTACGAGCTGTTACCCGCGACTTCGTCGCAAGGTATTAGAAAACATGCAAACTATATAAATTACAAAAAGTTACGTATCCCTCGGGAACCGTAACTGTTTCCGGGATAAAAAGTAGCCTATGTGTTCTTCCACACTATGCTCTAAACCTGTGCCAAATTTCATTGAGATCCGTTCAGCCGTTTAGGCTACAAACGCTAACAAACATCCATCCATCCATCCATCCATCTAAACTTTCGCATTTATAATATTAGTAAGAAGTAAGATATAAAAGAGGCAATAGGATAACTATTGTCACAAAACGCGATTTATTTTAATCAGTAGAACCTCGATAACTCAAACCTCGGTAACTTAAAAACCTCTATAACTTCAAATAATATGTTCGCTTCCCATCAGAGCCCAAAACCTCTACAACATAGACCCTTGATAACTTAACATATTTTGGACTTCTTATCGAGGTTCTACTGTACGGAATATCTTCTTTCCGAGTTTCAAATTTGATATGGGGGTTATATCAGTCAAGTTAGAAAACAAAAAGGGAACATACTCGTATCACGCTATATAAAAATATTATTTTGATATTTTTCATATTTCTCCCCTTTAGTAAAAAAAACCCAGTAAAAGGTACACTTAGAAATTTTATAATTCAATTTAAAAAATCAAGCTTTTAAGGGTTAAGTACTTGACTTGTAATCTACAGGTCTTGGGTTCGAATCCCGCTGTACCAATGTGATTTACCCGACGTTCTTACGGTGAAGGAAAACATCGTGATGCACATATCAGCGAAGAAATTCAAAGATATGTGTGAAGTCAACCCGCAGTGCAAAAAAAAACAAGGCAAAGAACTAGAAAAAATACTACAAAGATAACAAGTTTGTGCCAAAAAGCATAGCAGCAGGAAATAAAGAAAAAAAACCCGCAGTGCAGGTTGACTATGGCCTAGTCACTCCTCACAATCTTACCATAAGCTTCAGGATGTTTATCAGGCACTGGTCCAATCGGTGTGTGGTAATTCGGTCCATACCCGGCTGGAGTCCCATGAGCACTGGAATTATAGAAATAAAATCGTCAGGTTTAGGGTTATCTGAATTCTAGCCAAGAGGTATTTTTCACACATTAATTATATTTCTAGTATTCTCAGTAGTCGGAAATCGGACAGGCTATAACCGAGCAATAACAAAGACAAATGTACAGATAACCAAAATCAGAAGACTGAAATGGCGATGGGCGGGACATATGATACGAGGACACAATAAATGGAGCAAGAATGTGACAAAATGGTATCCTAGAACAGGTAAAAGGAAAAGCCGGCAAACGAAAAGATGGGATGACGATATTAGACAAGTTGCAGGTGTAACATGGAGGGTGGCAAGAGAAACAAGCGAGTGGAAAAGGTTGGAAGAGGACTATGTCGATTGGCAAACAGATCTACAACAAATAAAAAAGAATCAAATCCTAGAGTAATAAAGTGACTGTATAGGAGTTTATAAGTAATAAGAAAAATGTACAAAAACTTTGTAAAAGGATCTGAATTAAACGCTATTTTATTTATTTATTTATTTTAGTTAATTATATATCGATATAGATATATATGTATGTTGAGGCAGTTTTTTTTAATATAATAGAGCATACTGTAATTCTAGTTTTTAGAGTTAACAGTAAATAAAATATTTCTAAGTTATTTCAAAATTGTATGCTGTTTTTTTTTTTGGATTCTTTCTTCGTAATAACAAATGTCGGTTGTTGTATATTAGATGTCATAATGTAGTTTTTTGTGCCAATAAAATCCTATTTATTTAAATATGTTTATTTTTTTCAATTAAAACCAAAGATCTTTAGAAATATTTAGACGAGACATTCTATAAAATTTTATTATCAGGTTTTTTACTATTTAGGTACTTTATGATTTTGAGGAACTATCAATAGATGGCGTTAATGAGAGGTTTAATTAAATGCCAGACGAGATTGAGGTTTTAGGGTGGAAGAAAGGGATACAATGGTAGAGCCCGCTTTAACATCTTCACACGAATGGGCCGGCTCGCCCCCAGCAATACGACGACCGTCGTTTCGTCTGATAAATGTGGTGCCGGAGGCTTAATTTTAGTCTCTTTTCGTTTCCATCCTTTTCTTTAGAGGAAAGGATGGGAAGGAATGAAGTGAATTTGACAGAAGCAGACGCATAGGAAGGGAAAATGTCCTCTTTATGTGCGTCTCCTACAATGAAGGGTAGGCAACGCTGCAATTGGGGATGTTTGTGCAGCGGTCAGTCCATTTCGGTGGATTCAGGCCGCTTGCTCGTTTGCCAACTTATATTAAAAAAAATGGAAAACACTGTTGTATCTTACCTTATGTTATGCGGATGTTGGTAGTGTTGATATTGCTCCGGAGGCGGAGGGATGGTAAGCAAAGACGCCAGATCTTGCCAACGCTGGGGCCGCGTCTGTAAGTGTTAAAACATCAGGTTGGTAATACTGAGCCTATGTAGGCTCTCGTTAAACGGAATAACTTACAAATAAATAACGCCTAGTCTAAATTTACTAATATACTCGTAAATGAGAAAGCTTAGATGACTATTTTGTAATATATGTTGACGGAAATGTATGAAATCCGTCATTGTACAATATTACTAGGCAATGTATAACTCCTAAAATCGCGTATTGATAACCCACACTATTTTATTCATAGAAAACATTGTTTTCATGCCTTGTTTTGCGATTTTAGAATTCCATAATTTCTAGCAAATGTTTTTACCGGGATATGAGTGTATTTAATAATCTTTGAAACATATTACAAATTGCCAAAACACCTTCGTTATTCTATACTCTTCCTAGACAAAGTATACAATTCCTAGTTATCACACATTTCCGGTAACATATACAATACAAATCTTTTCTCTTCATTTATTTACTAACCGTGACTCCGTCTGCGTAAAAATTAAAAAACCAAAAGTGAGTAGTCTATGTACTTCAGATTTTTTTTAATTCAGACCGATCCTATACTAATATTATAAAGAGGATAGATTTGTATTGTACATGTATTGAAATAACTCAAAAACTGGGCCGATTTAAAAAATTCTTTCACCATTAAAAACGATATCACTATGTAACATTGGCTATTTCCATTTTAATTATACGCAGACGGAGTCGAGGGCGATTGCTAGTCTATTACTATTATAATAAAGCGTAAACACACAATTTGTTGCCTAAGATGTCAGCAATTACAGAATATTTTTTAATAATTCTTTATTTAATAAAAAGCCCTAGACTTACGTCACGCTTTAGGCTATATTTATTCACCCCATTAAACTTAGGGGGTAAATATTTTAGATAAAAACCCTAATGTGGGAAGAGACCATATGTTGCTGCCAACATCAAGGACACAAGATTGTTAAGGTATGTCATGTCATTTTGACATTTGCTATTCATAATAGAACAAATGTAAACAATAAAATAAAAAATTTTCAAAATTCCATGCGGATGAAGCCGCACGGGAACAGCTAGTTTAGAATAAACAGCCTATTAGGGTGTAAAATAATTAGAATTTCAAAATAGCGAACACCATAACCTTAAAAAGTTGATTGGCATTTCGTAATAGTGAAAATTCACATGTGCCCGTCAAATTGTGTTCTGATTGTAAAATGCTAAAATCATTCGAAATTCACCGTTAATTCGACATATGTCGATAAAAATTAATATTTACAAGTGATATCCAATATAGGTGGCGTCGGTGGCTCAGTGGTTTAAGCACTTGACTTGTAATCTACAGGTCTTGGGTTCGAATCCCGCTGTACCTGTGATTTTTGAATTTTCATATGTACATAATATACCCGACTTTCTTACGGTGAAGGAAAACATCGTGATGCCTTCACATATCGGAGAAGAAATTCAAAGATATGTGTGAAGTCGACCAACCCGCAGTGCAGCGTGGTTGACTATGGCCTAATTACCCTAATCTAGGATAGGCTCCGAGCCCCTCGGTGGGGACATATAGTGAGCTGGTGATGATGATGATGATGATATCCAAACGACATGGTGGTCGCATTAATTTTCAGCCCTCATTCATAGAAGCGTTTTTTTAACGCGCGTTAAAAATACGTTGTGATAGAAACACGACGCTAACTCGTATAAAAGTCAAATTTTGAGTCTTAAAAGGCCTCTTTTAGATAAAAGAAATTGGAAAGGGATGTTTTATTCGTACTAATATAAAAACAAAAGTTTATGTATGTTTGTCATTTCATAAATGGTTAATCTATCATCATCATCATCACCAGCTCACTATACGTCCCCACCGAGGGGCTCGGAGCCTACCCTAATAAGGGGTGAGTAGGCCACAGTCAACCACGCTGGCCCACTGCGGGTTGGTTGACTTCACACATATCTTTTGAATTTCTTCGTCGATATGTGCAGGTTGCATCACGATGTTTTCCTTCACAGTAAGAACGTCGGGTAAATTATGTACGTATGAAAATTCGAAAAATCGAAAATCACATTGGTACATGGCGGCGGGATTTGAACCCAAGACCTGTAGCTTACAAGTCAAGTGCTTAAACCACTGAGCCACCGGCGCTCTTTAACCTATACTAATATTATAAAAAGAATAATTTGTATTTTTGTATGTATTGAAATAACTCAAAAACTACTGGGCCGATTTAAAAATTCTATCACCATTAAAAAGCTACATTATCAGTGCCACATAGGCTATGTTTTTTTTTTAATTACGTCGCGAGCAGCAGCCAATATAAATTCTAGTTACCAGTATACTTTTTAATTTTTCAAACATCAATACTGGCATAAAAACAAACACTACATTTACCGTTGGCAGAACGACGCGTGTTGTCTTTGCTCTTACCAACTGTATGTCAACATTATCGTCTACAAACTCGAGCAGTAGAAACTGTTTTTACTTTTTCTGTATCACGCGAGATTTTGTACCAGTAATGTGAAGCCGTTACTATAATGTGTCTAAATAATTTAGATCAGTTTGACAATTCATTTGAAATTTAGTAGAGATGGGTTGTGTAAAATCAGTCATGAATCTTATCGATTTTCGATTTTTATTCTTATAGAAGTTGGAATCGATAGATTTATTGTTTTAACTAATGAAATAAAAAACACTGTTTTCTCAAATTAATAATGACCATAACAAATAATGAGAGTAAATAAATGTTTATTACTACTACAGCCGTACGTAATCGAATTGGATTTCGCTATTATTTCTGTCATCGCTAAATTCTCTACACTATAATCAATACTAGAATTGTCCTCTAAATTAGTTAATAAGAAAATAATAATTTTAGTTGAGTTTGTTAATTATTTAAACCGAATATCGATAGTTCATAATTGTTCGCTGCGTGTTTGTTTCGTCACTACGATACCTGTCTATTAAGTATGGCATTTGACTTCATATAAATTAAATTCGGTACTTCATATGCGTCATTTATCAAACTAATCTAAATTATTTAGACACACTATAGTTTGTCTAATTAAGATTAGTTTGATAAATGACGCATAGGAAGTATCGTAGTGACGAAACAAACACGCAGCGAACAATTATGAACTATAGATATTCGGTTTAAATAATTAACAAACTCAACTAAAATTATTATTTTCTTATTAACTAATTTAGAGGACAATTCTAGTATTGATTATAGTGTAGAGAATTTAGCGATGACATAAATAATAGCGAAATCCAATTCGATTACGTACGGCTGTAATAATAAACATTTATTTACTCTCATTATTTGTTATAGTCATTATTAATTTGTGAAAACAGTATTTTTAATTCATGAGTTATAACTATAAATCTATCGGTTCCAACTTCTATAAGAATAAAAATTTTCCTTCCCATCTTCTCTCTAAAAAGGGTGGAAAAAATTAATAGCTTGTTAGTGTTTCGTGAATAGGAACACGTCAAACTAGACTAGAATGTTCTCCAAGCTTCAGAGATGCGTTAAAATCTACATCAGAGTTACGGAGTTAATTATATAGGCCTCTGTGATGCCACAGTCTATTACAGTAGTACCATTATAATAAAACTGACGAAAAAATATTTGACTGATATAAATGTGAAAGTTTAGATGGATGTTACAGTTTGTAGCCTAAACTACTGAACAGATCCATGATTGTCATAGACATTTTTATTTTATTTAATGCTAGTACTGTTTTCCTTTATATAACTTATTTACTTGTTGTATTTTCTCTGACTGCTGCACGTGATGGGCACCACTGAACTGTCGCAACGCTGCCCTCCGGGACAGGCTGAAAACCAGCTCCGCATGGCTTAGGTCATGCGGTCCACACTGAGCCTGCAGCCCATTGTTGTCGATTTAACTTTTTTTTTTATTTAGCTCATAAGAAACTGTTTTTGTGACAACAATAAAAGTATTTTTATTATTATTATTTTATTTACATGTAGAGGTTATTTGGAAGTACTTGTTTTTGGTTTTTCAACGCGGACGAAATCTTGTACTAAATAATACTAAGAGAAATTCGTTAATTACATAATCCTGTTTTGCTTATAGATCTTTTTAATTTTATTATTTATATAAATATTTCGATAATTCGTGTAAAATTGATTCGTTTTACTGTGAGTAAAATTCTAAATAGAATCAAGTTTTTTGGTGAATAAATCTCTACTAATATAATAAAGGGTAAATTTGTAATTTTTCATTTAAAAAATAAACTAAAAACTAAACAAATTAAAAAAAAAACATACATCATTAGAAATAATTAAATCTCCAATTCCATACAGATTACATTTGAATAATAAAAATCATATTAATACAAAGTTATACATCTGTGATACCTACTCTGTGACGTACACGAGAGCAGCACTGGACACGGTAGCTTACGAACAAATTACAAATACCACATTATAATATACAAAATCCACGCATATCATAAAGAAAATACATTTTTACCTGAAACAAGAGGATAATGTTCTTGTTATCCACAATTTTGTTCACAGAATTTTAAACATATAAACTACTAGCTGTTCCCATGCGACTTCATCCGCATTAGTTTTATTATTATTGTTTACATTTGTCAAATTATCAATAGCAAATGGCAAAATGACATGACATGATAAACCATGACAACCTTGCTTCCTTGATGTTGGCAACAACTTATGGTCTCTTTAAATCTTATCTTTTTTTATATACAAAAAGGTGGCAAACGAGCAAGCGGCCACCTAAATCCGCCAAAATAGCGAAGCGACTGCCCATAGACATCCGCAATTGCAAATACGTTGCCTATCCTAAATCGACGAAGGAGGAGAAGCACATAAAGGGGATATTTCCTCATCCTATGCGTCTCCACCGTTAAATCGACTTCCCCTTCCCATCCTCTCCTTATAAGAAAAGGGTGGTAAAGCGTAAGGGCCTCAGGCACCACACTCATCAGACGAAACACGAAATTGCTTCCACTTCACGCCTGTCTCCTG